AGAGACATCTCTGTCATTACTAAACTCATACGTTTGTTTATAAATAACATTTCTGGTGTAAAGAATACTATTTATGAAAATCTAAATAATTCCAAAAAAAGATTTGATAAAATAAAAATCTATTTACAAATTTTTTTCCAAGGGTAAATTGGGGAAAATGTAAGTATATACTCGTTGTCAATAATGATGGACATTTTGAAACATACAAGAAATATTGATTTAACAAAAATGTACGCACTTGTCGATCATTGGTTTATACGCCTGGATAGAAAGTTACGGAACTATAGATAGTCGCAATTTAAAATATATACATGTATATTGAATATAAGAAAGAAACATCCAGAACAATTTGATTTAAATACAGGTCGATATCTAACTTGCTTTGGTTCATCGAAGTTATGGACATAGTAAAATCACAGATTTATATTTCAATTAGATTGTTCTCGAACAGTTGAAGAAATTCATCATCATCACTATTGTTGGGTATAATCATGGAAGTAATATTTAATATTACTTCCATTGTATAATGTATAATAAAGTGAACATGGTTCTGAAAGTACCTTATGTCAATTTTCCTGTTCCGACATGCATGTAATATATGCCACTGGACGTACACTAATGATCCAAAAAAGTCTATTTGAAGAAATAAAGAAACTTCACTTCGGATAGACTGATAGTAGTTGTACAAAAAATAAATTAACGAGTACCGTATTAACGTCTGACCAGCAAGAGGGTTGATTAATTTATTACGTTAGATTGTGGGTGAATAAACCATTCCCAATATTGCACTTAGTATGCATAAAATATTAAATAAGAGCATAGATATAATAGCCAGCTATTACATCTATGATAAGAGAAACATGAGAAAAAATATAAATACGAAAAGTCGCATATCTGGTAAAAAAAGTCTCACCATCTATAGGATTTCACGTACAATTGTTATGAAATAACGGACAGTCATTCACATGAATGACGGTACGCTTTGATAAAAAGGGGTGCCGTATATTATTCATCATCAATCTATTTTTTTCAAGTTTATACTTTCCTGTTATTCTTATCAATTAACGCAGAGACATGTCACTATGCACTGATCTCTAGTTAACGACAATCAACTATATAAATATCTGAATCTGATGTGAAATACCGTTCATCTCTTTCTTTCTTTTTTCTTCTTTTTGGGGGGGGGATTTGGGGGTGTCTTCCTCGAATGCCAACATTTTATATGTTACCTATTCCTTGAACGCCAACAAAAATATTTCAATAGATGTTTATATAATAGCAATAGGTGTTTTTATAACTATTTAAATGTTTTTATAAGTATTAAACTGTTAAAAATAATTAGTGAACTTGATAAAATTTAAACATTTTATCACTTTTTGATAAGAAAAAATAGTAGATTTTGGGGTTAAAATTATTATGAATTTTAAAGAAATAAAGAAAATTTAAACATTTTTATTACTTTTTATTAAAAAAAAAAGATATTTTGGGAATGGCAAATTTTAATAACGTAAGACATATAAGAAATTTTAGTTAAATACAATTATTACAAACTAAAAAATGTGTATGGATGAGCTGATATGAAGCATTTTTTCAAGTTATTACATATATGTATAGTCTTGTTATGTGCTGAGAGTGATTTTATTCAGAAAGACGGACGGACCTATAACCTAGAAAGTTGTACATACATTATGACACACCCTCTAGTGTTGGTTAATATACAAGTATAAACTTTGAAATCATAACCGTTCCCAAGATATAGAGTGGACACGATCTTTACCATAGGACATGGGGTTGTCAACTGAAACCAAAGTTTTTGACCTTGACATTTAACCTGGGAAGTTGTACTTACATTATGACACACCCTCTAGTGTTGGTTAATATACAACTATAAACTTTGAAATCATAACCGTTCTCTAGATATAGAGTGGACACGATCTTTACCATAGGACATGGGGTTGTCAACTGAAACCAAAGTTTTTGATCTTGACCTTTGACCTGGGAGTTGTACATACATTATGACGCACCCTCTAGTGTTGGTTGATATACATGTCAAGTATAAACTTTAAAATCATAACAGTTCTCTATATATAGAGCGGATACAATTTGTCGGACGGACGGACAGACTGATTACAATAGGGCGAACCGCCACTAGGCGGGGCCCTAATTACACATAGTAATCTTACACGAGATACAAAGTTTCAAGAAATTCCATCAAGTAATATGGGCGGATATTACAGCACACACAACTATAGAAATATTGAAAAGCAACATCAAAGTTTAAAGAGTCTAATGTAGAATTTGTGCAAACGGGAATTTCTGAAAATATGCACAAGTTAAATTTGTGAAGCAACACTTTTCAAAGTTTCATTTTAAGAGAATCCATATTTGTGCAGTAGCAGCAAAAAATGATTTTTAACAACTTGACAAACATAAACTAGATTTAGCTACCTGTAATTTACCTATCTGTTTAATTAGTATGATTGTTTTGATAAGCATGCACTTTTGTTGTGATAACTACTTACACCTATTCCTTGAACGCCAACATAATTTTACAGGTAAATTGTCGGTAGATCAAAGGATGTTGGCATTCAAGGAATAAACCGATTTGGGCAGGGACATAAACATTGTTAGATGTAATTAGGGTTCCCAGGTTGTTGTTTTTTTTGGGGGGGGGAGGGGGCGTGTTGGAGGTCAGGTCTATCGAAAGTTACAAAATAAGAGCGTTTTATTTATGAATTTACAAGAAGAATTCTGTTCTTGGACGTACTTTTCTCTTTTTTTTTTAGTTCAGTGATTTAAATTGAGAAAAAATCTAGTCAGAATTTAAATCGTTTCGGCAATCCCCATCTAAGACTACTTTAAAATCATGAATGGCCATGCTTCACAATCATGAGAATTTTCTTTGCATTGGTACATTATGTATCGGTAGTGATTAACCATGACATTTCCGGGTATAACAGAGCTTCTTGTATATTACCTGTATGTGGTTAGGTGTCGTCCTATGAGGTCTTGCGTATACAGGTTCACATTTATAATGGTTTGTGATATAACAAGGTTTTATGACATTCACACGTCTGCATGTTCTGTTTACCACATTCTTATCTTATTTTCAGACCGAAAGAGGAAATGAATAATTTCCAGGAAAAATATTGAGTATCAAAGTATCAAATTAATTTCGGGATTTTTTTCTTTCTTGGTATTAAATAACAGAAATTTAAAGAATAAACTGCTTTTCCGCTTTGAGGTATTCTTGCCAGTTAAAACAGACATATAATTATATATGTATATATGTCTCTGGTATAGACATGGTTTATGAATGAATTATAAGTCTTGCAAAGGTACACGATATAAAGGACATTGAAAATTGATTCCGCCGGTCTGTCTCCATTCAAAAAAAGGAAGGTTGACGTTAGATTGATTCTGTCATTTTTTTAAAACATCGTTGGTCAAATAGCTAAAGTATTTATACGTTGTGAGACTTAGAATATTTTAATAAGGACATTCCTGATTAGGTATCCTTTTTTTTAAAAGTTTTTCACACCTGAAAAGAATATTTGCTTGTAATTATTTGATTCCATTCCAAGAATTTCCTGTCAAATTTTTAAACATCTTTTTTCAAATAGCTGAAGTATTTTTACGTTGTGACAGAGACAGATTTAAAATATTTTGATGAGAACATTAATTCATGAATATGTAAATAAAGATCGCTTTGGACGGACCAAATTATATAATTACAATTGGTAATTATCTATTTTAAATAATAAAGGTTACCGATTCTAATTTGAAATAGTACAATTTTTAGTTCATACACTCGTGTTTAGAAGGCCATTATTATTTATAAATCTATTAAATTAAATCAATTCAGTATTTCATGGTTACACAAACAGTGACAGCGGTCATAATTCATTTTAAACTGAGCTTACGCAAAATATAAAAATATACCACGACTATCCAGTTATTGTGCAACCTTATTACTCCCCCAAAATAATTATATTTCTTTTTTATATTTCTGATTATAAAACTATCACACCCGTTTATCATTCATACAAAATGTTGTTCACACCTGGAACGGTGAACCGTGACGGCTAAGATTCACTGAGTGAAGATCAAAAGATTAGAATTACAGAATGCTAATATTTTAATTACCTTGAGTTTAACCACGCATTCAACAGTCACTAAGTGTCACAGTACATTACACATTGTATTTACACAGTACTAGCTGGAAATGTTTGCTAGACTTAAGTAAAAGGTCAGAATACAAACATGCATTTTTAATACATTATCAATCATGTCAGTTATATATGTTTGTTCAAAATATTCGTAGGAAAAAATATCATAAAAATGTTCTATTGTATGATTTACTTTTATTACTATAATCATATCAGAAATCCTTAAAACATAAATCCTACAATTTAATTTTACTGATCACTTTACTTTCTTAATTTTTAGTTGGTTAATAGCTACACCAAAAGTCGTCGATGCGCTTTAAATCGCGTTATAAGTTGGTTAACGAACAAGACTTAAATGAGATTAATTCCACTCCCGGCATGCAAAAAGACTTAAACTACGTCACAGAAGTCAGGAAGTTTGAATAAATAAAATTAATAATTCCCAATTTTCTTCTTTATTAGTTTTCATATCCAAATAAAACTTGGTGAATATGTTTTTATTGGTATTATGAACATAATAAGATGATAAGTAAAAAATCGCGAATTTTCCCTTTAAGAAGTTAGCTAACGCCGCCGCCGCCGCCGCCGTAGCCGCCGGATCACTATCCCTATGTCGAGCTTTCTGCGACAAAAGTCGCAGGCTCGACAAAAATGAAAAAGCATGCAAATATAATGAAAGCAAATTAATTTTGATTTCTGAGCCTCCAGAGTCAAAGCTCGTGCGGCAAGCACCTCTATGTGCATTGAATGGGGGAACCAGCAAATCACTTAAATATCTTAAAATACTAACAAACAAAAAAACATAAAAGCAGTAAATAAATAAAAAATTAATTATTAAGCACTGGCATTTAATAGCAGGTATATATAATAAATGCATAAAAAAGCAGAGCAAAAGGCCATAATAAAAAACAAAAAGAAAAAAAAGAAATTTCAGCTTTGAGACAGCACTGGATGGAAACGGCATGAACTGCAGTTGCATTTTTGACCCCCACACCAAGAATTTATATAATTCCTAAATTGGTCAAAAGAGGTCATAATTCTAGCCTCATTGGGAAGGGAGTTCCATACTTGTGCTGCCTCAAATCTAAAGGATCTTTTACCATAACTTGAGGTTCTAGGTCTAGGTACCTCAGCAGTGTTCACATACCTGAAATTATATGAATTGATTTTTATAACAACTAGATCTTGAATAAATAATGGACATTTTTTATTAATTATTTTAAAGGTTTCCAAGGCAACTGAGCGCATCCTACGAGTTTTTAGTGATGGAAGGTTTGAAATTTGCAGAAGCGTGTCGTATGAATTCTGATAGTCTTCATAAATAAAGCGGAGCGCTCGTTCTTGTATTTTTTCTATTTTTCTGGTATTTTGTTCCCCACAGAAATGCCAAGTCAAAGGGCAATAACTAAAGTTTGACATAATAAAAGAGTAATAAATTGTAAGTTTACTCAGTTTGTTTAGGTGTTTCCCAATTCTTTTCAAAACATTTAATTGCCTTGCAGCCTTTTTACAAATATTTGAAATATGTAAACTGAAGTTTAATTTAAAATCAATTGTAACTCCTAGTAGTTTTACCTCATCCTCACAGGATATAGAAATACCATTCAAATCAAACACAATCTTTTTATCATGTGTTTTTTTTTGCCAAGAGAGATAGCTTGAAATTTCTCTGGGTTGGCCTGCATTTTATTTGAAGAAAACCACTGTATTAAATAATTGCTGTCTTCCTCAAGAGCAGAAATTACATCTTGTAAGGAATTTCCAGACTTTGACAAAGTATTGTCATCAGCATAATTATATAAAGAACAATTTTTTACAAAAAAGAACAAATCATTTATAAAAAATATTAAATAGGATGGGTCCAAGGATGGAACCTTGTGGTACCCCTTTAAATATGTCAAGCATACCACTTAAATTTTGGTTTACTTTCACACACTGATTTCTTTTTGTTAAATAACTATATAACATATCAAGTGAGGATTTGGAAAGACCATAAGCTTTTAGTTTCAGTAGCAGTAAGTCATGGGGGAGACAGTCAAATGCTTTTGACAGGTCCATAAGGATAGCTGCAAGGTATTTATTTTGGTCTAAGGCTAATTTCCAATCTTCAATCACTCTTAAAAAAGTTGACTGACATCCAAAACCTGATCTAAAAGCTGCCAAAAATGGATTGAAGATATTATCAAAGTACTGTACTAATTGTACTTCTATGGCATATTCAAAAATTTTAGAAATGGCCGGTAATACACTTACCGGTCTATAATTTCCTTTTTCTAATACACTATTCTTTTTGTGAATAGGTGCAACTTGAGCTTCCTTAAGACGGTCAGTACTTTAATTGTCCTTTTTAACTTGTTTGATTCGGGCGTCACCGACGAGTCTTTTGTAGACGAAACAAGCGTCTGGCGTACATCATTTTATAATGAAAAAAAGCCTGGTATCTTTGATGAGTTTATTGACGCAAACGCAATAATGGTGCTGGTAATAATTTTGTGTGACTTCTTTCAATAGCCTTCCAATCTCTAAGTAAGGCATATGTAAGTTCGTAACCAGGAGAAGATAATATTTCAGGTAAATGATGGGTGGTACGTTTTTTATAGGGTAAAAATCCAGGATGATGTTTCATTTCTATGTTAAAAGCTGTTGCTACAATTCCAATATAACTATCCTCAACTTGAATAATCTTTGCATAAGTGACTCCTAATGCCAACATTTTTACGGTTTTCATATTTGTCAAGATCGTTCCTCCTATTATATATGATGGAAAATATGGAAACGGATACTCATTTGGTGAAAGGTATACTTTTGAATTGATAGCTCTCTGTGGTTTTGAAAAATCCAACTTGTAACCAATTATTACTAAATCCCGTGAGGTAATGCTGTTAGTTGCGACGTTATACACATTGTACGTATTGACTAATCTGTCATCATCTACGAAATGCACAAATGCAGTTGGAATATTTACGTCCGATAACCACAAAAGTGAATAAATCGTCTTGTAAACTAGATTTTCGTACGTATCTACAATATTTAGCTGAACAATATCTTTATACTGTTTTGATTCTATTTCAATGAAAGGATTTGCACTGTCTATATAGCCTATAATAAAAACAACTTTTGTTCGCAGTCCTTCAATACCTCCCCAAGTCTTGCGTATAGCATCACGTTGACCAAAATTTAGCACATATGATTTCACAATAAACAACAACTTCAGGTTATCGCAATTTAAATTATCACAGATTGTTTCTGAAGGATCTATTCTGTAAGCGTCCTCCTTCATAAAAACATTTAATGGCTTGACTTTTGTACTTCCTGTTTCTTGAATGTTATCAGTTATTCGCTCTAAATTAGGTATTAGGAAATCTAAGTTCATATACACATCCATGTAAGCATAGTAATATTGCAAGTAGGCTATTTGGAAGGAACAACATCCACACATCAATAATATAACTATCCTAAATCTAAAAAAGAATATAAAGAATATATGACAAGTAATTTAAAGGGCTTGCATAGCTTAAAGTAAAAATAATTCATAGTGACTGAAAATTCCGTAAGCTGATGTTTTTGTCCAAATAATTTACTTAAATTCAAGAATCCTTGTATAGTAATGATTACTCCTAGTACAACTTGAACATTTAAACGAGCTATATTCATTCATGGCAACTACATCTGTTCAAAATAGCTTACAGAAAATCGTTTCACTATATCTCCAGCGCCAAACATTTAACTCTGGCGATAGACATTACAATTCCATATCAAAAGAATTTATTAATAAGTATATGCATTATCGAATTCATGAGTATGTATTATAAAAACAAAATTCAAGCCTAACAATCCTTGGGACGACCTACATTTGACAGGTATTACGTTTGCGCGAATTTACTTGTAATTTACCTGAGTATTTATCTGTGTTTTTATCCTGAGAATAACCTGAATTTTGTTTAGAATTAATTATATTGATTGATAATTTATATAATCAAAGAAGTCTTTCTTCGTTTATGTAATTATTAAAAATCACTACATGTATGTCGAATAGCAATGTTTTGTATAAAATAGTTTGTCTTTTCTGGAAAGGAACATTCTAAGTATATAAAAACCATATTCTGGATTAAAACACAGTATGTAATCTTGACAGGAACAATATACAAGTCAGTCCTTGCTGTGAAAAGACTCTGTGTCATTGTTGGTACGTTTTGTGCTTTCATTTGGAACACATTCTTGGCTATATTAGAGACCCACTGGTGACGTAATTTTCTACTAAGTAGATGGCAAATAGCTTGCGGCTTTCATTTGGCATTAAATCATCTACAAAACTGCTCTTAACGCTAAATTAACTGGCAATCACAAACCCTGGTCGTGTTTAAACCACTTTTATCTTTCAGTTGACGAGTTTTTGAATATCTTTTTTTTATTAGAAAATAAATTTGTTAAATTCGCGCAAACGTAGTAAATTTTCAACAAGTAAATTTCGCGCAAACGTAATGCATTTTGTCGCGCAAACGTGGAAAATTGTTCTTGCAAAGGTTGAAAATTGTTTGCACAAACGTAGGACAAATTCGTCCAAACGTAACGCGCCGGTTCTCTGACATTCCCCTTAATTTCTTTCAAAAATCTTGACAGCTGACTTCTAATTTTGGATTTAAAAAACTGAAAATAATTTTGAATGTTATAGCAGTCATCACTTTTTGTTTTTGGGGAAAATTTAATTTTAATCGGCCATTTCACAAAATTAAAAAAAAAAATGTTTTGTTAGTGTTTTATTGCACTGTACAAAATTTTCTCATACAGTCTAGTGTAAAGGCATGAAATGAATAAAATGATACTTACTGATTAGAAGTTTCAGAATACTTTAAAGTCGTGTAAAGGCATGACATGAATAAAATGATACTTACTAGTTAGAAGTTTCAGAATACTTTAAAGTCATATAAAGGCATGACATGAATAAAATGATACTTACTAGTTAGAAGTTTCAGAATACTTTTAAGTTGTGTTCGTAAGGATGCACTTAATGAACTTGAATATAAAACAGACATTTTTTGTCAAAAACATTAATTTTTTATCAATTATTTTTTGTTCTAATGTTTAGTAGAAACATACTGTTTTTTCACTTCCCTTCTAAAACATTTTTTTTTTATAAAAAAAAATTAAAATCAAACAATGGATTTAAAATAATCAACATCACTGCATAAATACTGCAGTAAGGATTCTACTTCGTCAACATTATCTCCCCATTAAACCACTTAACTTTCTCAATCATGAAAATGGAGGTCGTTGTAAGGATGAAGATGTCAATGTAGGTCGTGAAAATCGAAAATTTATTCATATGGCAACATTACGATTTTTAGATGACAGTTTTATTGTATCAATTAGCTATAAATATAAAAATAAGAAGATGTGGTATGATTGCCAATGAGACAACTCTCCACAAGAGACAAAATGACACAGAAATTAACAACTATAGGTCACCGTACGGCCTTCAACAATGAGCAAAGCCCATACCACATAGTCAGCTATAAAAGGCCCCGAAATGACAAATGTAAAACAATTCAAACGAAAAAACTAACGGCCTAATTTATGTACAAAATAATGAACGAAAAACAAATATGTTACACAGCAACAAACGACAACCACTGAATTACAGGCTCCTGACTTTGGACAGGCACATTCAGAATGTGGCGGGGTTAAACGCGTTTGAAGGCGCCAACCCTCCCCTAACCTTGGATAGTGGTGTTACAGTACAACATAAGAACAAACTATAAAAATCAGTTGAAAAAGGCTTAACTCATCAGATGGATACACATAGAAATACATCTAACAAAAACACAAGAGTGGGCTCGGTAAACAACACCTCCGTAAAAATGAGGATGTGCTATCCCGTTTGAAATAAGTTTTCTACAGGTACAACCAAACTCCAAAACCAAATCTTTATATAAATCTTCATTCAATGTACTTTTATGCCTTTTGTCAACTTCATATTATAGTCGGATTGGTTGTCAAGGGGGTTTTTGAAAGTTAAAAAAAAAAAAAAAACACGATATAAAGTCTATGCAAATATTTCGCGGAAAGACAGTTTAAAATTTTTCAGAAATTAAATACTACATGGACTAACTACCCTAGATAACACATACACACATTGACGTTTTGATTTTCATTTCTAAGATTCACAAGTAAAGTCTGTTGTCAAGGGAGTATCAGTTAACGGTGTGTTAAACTTTTATTTTTTGTATTGCATTTCACGAATAAAATAATTGATATGCCTAAATTTTAATTGAAAAATGAGTGAACGAAAATAAAACAAAATACATGTAATAAATAAATCTGATACTTTATCATTTGTAGTAGCAAGAGTTTTTTTTTTGCCTCAGGGGGTTCACGCCTATATATTGGTGAGTTTTGGTAGCTTCTATGGGCCATTCGGATATCTTCGGAAACAAGATTCTCGGAACCTCTCGAAAATTTTCGATCATTTATACAGGTAGTTATCTATGTCTTTGATACGGTCCCTCTATGGATAGGCTACCACGTGACATTGTATATTTCAATATTCAAAGTTCATTTGTAGATCGGATAGTAAAAAAATAAAGACTAGGTTCAGTCAAAAAATCATTTATATGTTAGAATCTATTTGCCTTTTGACAAAACATATGTGTTTTTAATAATGCGAATGTTTATTAAATATTAAGTATAATGATAACGCAATTATATAATTCATGCTTTGAGACGGTCCCTGTACGCGTTGTGTGTGTAGTATTTAATACAGATTGTGACAATAAACCTGGGAATAGTTTATTAATATATATAATGTGTCAGAATTAACTAATTATTTATGAACGTTTATCACTTGATATTTTGTATTTCAAACTGGAAAAATGTCGGAAAGCATGAAGATAATTTACAAAATGATATTTCTGTTATAAATATTTATCTTACGTCGGAAACACAGTGGTCGGAAAAGCAGAAAGAGAAATTAAACAAAAAGATTTTTTCTGTAAAAAATATTTAATTTCATTAATAGATTCCTGACCAGGAGAATTTTCATTAAAATTGTTAGTTTTAAACTGAGACTAAATTTATCCTGAATGAAATATAATTTAAAATGTTATATATACGTGTATTATGCCCCACAGGTTTGAACAGTGAATACATTTATGAAAATTTAATGCAACATATGAGCCCCAATGAGCAGGGATGCGTGCACATAAGTTAGTATCACCCTGTTCACAAGACACACTTCACACACATTCCGGATTGAATGGCAACTTACGGTATTCTGACCTCTAGCTGTTTCTCTTTTTTTTATTTTTTAGTGACTGTCCTATTATAAACTTTGGCATTTTCAAAATGCTAAGGATTTTCTACCCCAGGAATAGATTACCTCAGATGTATTCGGCAAAACCTTTGTTTCGAAATTTTGAGTCCTCAATTCCTTTCAACTTCGTACTTTATTTGGCCTTTTTAACTTTTTTTATTCGAGCGTCACTGGTGAGTCTTTTGTAGACTGAACTCGAGTCTGACGTACGACATTTTAATACTGGTATCTTTTTATATCTACATATCTTTTTATATAAATTGGTTCTTTTGAGAGAATGTTCAGGTATTCATAAAACTCCTGAAAATAAGATATTCTTCAAAACCAAGTTTTCCTGTAGAATATTTGGATTGATTTAAGTAACTTCAGGGAATCCTTAAAATTTGAGATGTTTTAAAAGACCAAAATAATTGTCAGTATATAAGAGGTCCCAATGAAGCTGGTGTGTTACTCTTAAAAAAACTCGTTATAAGTTGCGTGCCACAGGGTTTCACTTCACATGGAAATTGGACTTTAAATTTATCTATACAACATCTACCATGAGTACAGACAGCTTCAATAACGTGTATACGAATAATTGAAGGCATCCAGGAAACAAAATATGAAGATATGGTAGATAAAATAAATGCATCAAGATTATAAAGCAAACTGAGTGCTTTAATTTATATTGCGATTGGTTTGTGCAATTTGCCATGGTGTTGTCAGTTTATTTTCGACTTATGAGTTTGAATGTCCCTTTGGTATCCTTCGCTTCTCTTTTGAATTAGACATCCGGTTTGCAGAAACCGGGATTTGCAATAGGATTATGAAAAAAATATGTACATTCCCAAGTAATAAATAAAATAGTCAAGCCTTAAAATGTAAATTCAAATAGTAGCTGTATATATACACTTTTCTATTCACAACTATCCATAATTGCTTTCAATTGACTTGTGCAAGAATCTACACACAATTACATATTTTTTAATAAAGGTGTTTTGACATCATCATTATCTTATTCTATTCACAGTCAATTATTTCAAATCAAAAGCAAACAAAAAATTCAGCAACATTTTTTGGTGACCAGTCAGCGGTCTCGGGTTCACGTGTTGCTTTTTTTTTTAAGAACCCAACTTGTTTTATTTAAACTTACCATCCATGTTGTTTCGGTTTATTACAAAGGTATTTCACTTGACCCATATATTTCATATTTTGGTGCTGTGAATTTTTAATGTTATTATATATCAACATGAAGCCTTAATACATCTGAGGCGAAATGTTGTATCAAATATATTTGTTGTATACGCTTTCAGGACAAACCAGTCAACTCATTCACGCTGAACGTAGAAACGTGTTATTGACTTTCTCAATAAGACGATTGCCCATTTCCCCCCAAAACTGTTACCTGAAAAGCGATCTAAATAAATGCTTATAAATGATCATTTTTTTTATCTTTCCGTGGGTTTTATTTGATGGAATTTATGCTTATGCATCTTCAAGATTTAAAAGTTTTTGCATGCACCTACCATAATCGGTTGTTTTGATGGAAGTTTCTTTAATTTAGAAATTGACAAATATCTCTAAGCTCCATACTATAATTTAAGTATAAACACGTGTATAAGCTGCAAAAACAAACCTCTATAAATTATTCACCTACATTTATCTTTTAAAGGTTATAGAAACAGTGTATACAATTCAAATATACCAATTTGGCCGTTTTTGCCTTCTCTAATAAAGCATACCATTTCTTTTGTTTAATTTCAATCGGATATCAGCCTGAGTGACATCTGTCGAACTATTTTTTTCTTCTTCTCTTTATGTATTTCTTACCTACTTAAATATGTATTTCTTATATACTTAAAATTCGAGACAACACTTAAGAAATTAAGATTAACATGGAGATAAAACTCACATTTTATTACGTCCACATTTTCTGAACGGTATTTTCCGCATTCGTTTCATGCTACCTGCTTCGCTGAAAATAATTGACACTTTGTAATAAAACAGTATAATTTTCGTTTGACAGTCGTATTATAATAGTCTGATATCGTACTATATTCTGCATTTAATCCTTCAAAATTATCTTCATCACGAAATGACTTTTATAACGAGTTTGTAATAATTCTTTCGATATTTCCTATCGTTCCAATATTTACCTTTTCCAATCTTTTCAATATTTACCTTTTCCAATCTTTCCAATATATTTCACGCACTATTGAACAACAGTTTATAGAATTCGTTTTTATTTGGTGAAACAATAAACATGCTGTTAAGCAAGTGGAATCAAAAATGTACGAAATGATGAAATATGCAAATAATTTTATCTTTGAAAATTGTTGCATGGTGTGTGTTGTGGTACTGCAAACGACCTTACTTTTTTAGGATAATCCTCTTAATCTGGCTTATCGTGCAACTTTTATTAGATTATTATTTAATTAATGTATTAAAGTTTCACAATAATTCATCAACACGATTAATGGTTAATCCTTATATTTTAATCAGGATTAATCGATTCTCATTTTTTTGTATCGAGCGCAGGATGAACACTTACTTTTGTACTAGTTATCTGTAATCTTTAAAGTTGTCACCATTACGCAGAGAGCCTTAAACGGAGACCATCAATTATTATTTGCGCTGGATTAAAACATATAGACAAGTTATAACAGAAACGGTACCAATGTTTGGCACAAGATGCGCATTTCGACAATTGATGTCGCATCAGTGATGCACGAGGCCAAAATATTTGAAAGTCCAAAACCTAGTACAAACGTTGATGAGCTGATTCGGGGATTTTCTTCGCCCTAAGGCTTATGAAATTACTATTTAATGCACGAAAAATTTACAGTGCTTTTTTAAAACATTTATATTGAAGAAATTTTCATTGATTAAACATTCAAATGCTCCCATAAATTCTTTTAGCAGTTTTATCCAATGCATGAATTAACGGACACTAAATTCCTCGTGTCTTTATCATATCACACGGCTAAAGGATGGGGAGAATAACAAAACATGAAATATCAAATATCCTGTAAAAAAGCACAAATATTCCGTAGTAAAAAGCCAAATGTCCTTTAGAAAAAGTGCGAATGTCCTGTAGAAAAAGCCCAAATTTCCCCTTTCTTCAATTTCAAATATCCTGCAGAAAAAAATATCTTTTTATTCTCTTTTCTTAGAGATCAAATGTCCATTAATTAATGCTCAAATGTCCTATCAATTTATTTCCAGATAATTGTTCGTAATTATTAACATTTGTTTTCATTTAATCTTGCTAGTACCCATTGACTTTCAATTATGAATAATTACCTCTTTGACAATAATGACAAGTGGATCTTTGTACGATTCGGTAATGGGAATACACAGTAAAAGAAACAAAGACCAAACATTTTTATAGGAACTACTCAACAAAGATTAAAAGAAAAAGAAACAAGAATGTGTTCATAGTACACGGATGCCCCCTCGCACTATCATTTTCTATGTTCAATGGACCGTGAAATTGGGGTCAAAACTCTAATTTGGCATTAAAATTAGAAAGATCATATCATAGGGAAGATGTGTACTAAGTTTCAAGTTGATTGGACTTCAACTTCATCAAAAACTACCTTGACCAAAAACTTTAACCTGAAGCGGGACAGACGGACGAACGGACGGACGGACGGACGAACGGACGCACAGACCGAAAAACATAATGCCCCTCTACTATCGTAGGTGGGGCATAAAAAGACGAAGATTTTCCACCTGCTAATTTTATTTTCTAACGGACTGATCATGTTGATGATAGTTCCTAAAAACTTATCAAAGATACCAATCCTACGATTTCAGGCTACATTAAACACGTGTTTCGTCTACATAAGGCTTAACAGGGTATTCGAATCAAACCAGAGGAGGGCCATATTCGAAGTTGAAGAGCATTAAAAACCGAAAACTCCAAAAAGTTTTGTCAAATACGACTATGGCAAGCCATGCCTGGGGGTAGGAAAATCCTTAGTGTTTCGAATAATCCAGCATTTTATAAATAGTAAATTGACAGACATTGAACATATCTATGATATCAGATGTCATTACAAAAGTGCTGACTACTGGCCTGGTGATACGCAAGGTTTTTTAAAAACCTGAACTTTTTAAAATTTACTAATAATGACCAAAATATCGTCCTCTAAAAATAGATTGTCGTTCAACTGATTGTGAAAATTGGTGTAAACGGGAAAAATTTGAAAAAAATCTCTTGATACTAACTTAATAAATGTATGATTATTGTGAATACTCGAATATCAGATTTTGAAAATGATTTAGTAACAAATAAGAGGGTAGATAATACGCCTATTATTAGAATATAAAAACTAACTCCAAATACTCGCAAAGCGGTTTGTGTTCTTATCGACCAACAAAGCAAACACAAAGTGGTGGTAGTATGACGTAAAAACTACAGATCTTAAAAATGAAATGATAATTTTTTCTACATTCAGGTCCGTGCGTTCCACAGAGAGTCGTAAAGTAAACAATCATAGCATTATCACATCTCAGCCTAAGGCATCCTCTGAACATTTGAAGGTCCATACTATGTATTGGTTACTTAATCTACACAAAAACACGTTAAATATCGTTTCATCACGGCCTCTAGCAAGTGTTCTACAACTGATCTTTCATTGCTTTTAACTAGTTCCTTAACTACTATAAAAAAAACTTTATAACTTTTCTAACAAAGCATAAGAAAGTAATGGAATAAAATATATTTTGAGTGTAAAAAAATCTTTGGATGTTTTAGATAAATTACGTGCTTTTGATGGTCAATTTAATTCAGTTGACAATTTTGACTTTTCGACTCTCTACACTACACTTCCACACAATCTTATAAAAAAAAGTGTTCCTATTAAATTAAATGGTCGTTTGAAAAATCAGATTGCAAATTTATCTGCTGCAACTTATATAAAGCCTTCATCTGTAATGAAAAGGGTAAATATGTTAGATATACTTACTGGAAGTGTGATCAGATGATTAAAGCTGTAAATTTTCTCATTGACGACATTTATGTAAGTTTCGGTATAAAATTTATTGACAGATTGTAGGTATTTCGATGGGCACAAGTTGTGCCCCTTTAATAGCAGATTTGTTCCTGTATTGTTATGAATCACAGTGTATGACCAAATTCAGTAAAGACCCGTATAAATTCAATCTAATTAATAGATTCAACAACACTTACCGTTATCTTCCTGATATTTTTCGTTAAATAATCAAGAATTCTTTAAATATACTGCCGAAATTTATCCAAAGTAACTTACTTTAAATAAATCAAATAGAAACAGCAATAACTGTCCTTACCTCGATTTGGATATATCAGTTTTACATGGGAAACTTTTCGCAAAAATTTACGACGAAAGAAACGATTTATCGCTCCCTATTGTTTCCTTTTTTGGACGGTGATGTTCATTTGGATCCATCCTACGGTGTTTATATATCCCTACTCGTTCGCTATGTCCGTGTCTGTAGTGACATTTTGGATTTCAATGAACATAATCGAAGTATTACTGGTAAATTATTAAGTCAAGGATTTCGTTACCACAAATTACTTAAAACCTTTACTAAATTCTTTTATAGATACAAAGACTTGGTTTGGAAGTTTGGCTGTACCTGTAGAATACGTATTAAAAACGGCATAGCACATTCTAATTTTTACAGTGATGTTGTTTATCGAGCCCGCAAATTTAGATACGATCCGGGTAAACTTATCGATTCTTTAAATAAACTTATTGAACTGAATATAATTATTATACACATAGTTAAATTTACGGTCATAAAATCAGTCGATATCTATATTTTGGCATTGCACAAGGTCATGTTTTGTTCTGACTGTTAACGACGTCTTTACACTAAATCCATTGGATGCTGGATATTACCTGATTGCTATTTAAGTCTTGGGAACATGATTTTTGTAATAGTTGTTATTTGCTTTGAACTAGCTTTTAGTAACTGCGAGTACTCTCAGATATGTACTTTGTGTCTTTTGTGTTTTTGATAATTGTTTTTGTTCTTTGTATCGAACTGATTTTTATAGTTAGTTATTATGTTGTGCTGTTACACCACTGTCCCCGGTTTTTGGGGAGGGTTTGGCGCCTTCAACCATTCCCGCCACATTCTGTATGTACCTGTCACAAATCATGAGCCTGTAATTCAGTGGTTGTCGTTTGATGATGTATATCATATTTGTTTTTCGTTTATTTATTGTATTGTTCATTAATCAGGCCGTTAGTTTTCTCGTTTGAATTGTTAAACATTTGTCATTTAGAGGTCATTTATTCTCTGATTCACTGCCCGGCTTTGGCTATACTTTTTTGTCCTTTTTGGCTTATAGCTCTTCATCTTTTTAATAAGCTTTGGATTTTCAAATATTTTGACCTCGAGCATCACTGAAGAGACATTGATTGTCGAAATGCGCATCTGGTGCAAAAAATTTGGTATCGCTTATGTTATTATAGCGTGCTGTGCGGTATGTGTATTTTTCCATTTATATAAAGTATTAATTTACTTAAAACCACTCTCGACAGTTCTTCGTCTTATTTTTGTAAAACTGGAGCCTCTTTCTTATGCTCAGGAATAAGAATCTTTCTCTTGTTATTTTATGTGAGTGAGAACAATCATGATTATGCGAGAATCATATCATATTTATGAATGTCGTATGGTGACCTATAGTTGCTTATGTCTACAACATTTGGTCTCTAGTGGAGAGTTGTCTCATTGGCACTCATACCACATCTTCTTATTTATTTATGAATACTAGAAGTTGTAATTCGCCTGATAGGCATTTCTTGTTTTTCGACTTATCATGATAATAATTGTCACGTTACTGAGTATCATTGTCCTTCGTCTCCACTTTCGACAGTTCTTCGTCTTATTTTATAGATAACGAGAGCCTCGTTTTTTATGCTCAGGAATAAGAATCTTTCTCTTGTTATTTTATGAGAATGAGAACAATCAAGATTATGTTAGAATCATATCACTATCAGAACATCATAACATGCACGGGAAGTTATTATGGCTAAAGTTTCAAGGGTTAAGTTGGTAATTACCGTTCATAGCGATTGTTGAAGTTATTCCAATTATCGTGGTTCATTTGGCTTTTACGTCTTGGAAAATATTATCTAGCACTGCATTCGTATTCCATTTATTAAAGTGATATGTTTCATAACTGTCTTAATAAATGAATATTTTGCATTCGCTTTCAACGCTTCGGAGTGAATGCCGGATATAACAAAAGTGTACACATTTTTTCGAAATTATATTCAATGATACGATACGTTCATAGTCGGCGTTTGCATCTTTCGACATGCTCTACTTTGAACAGTTTCATTTTACGTCGATCATATTCAATAAGTAAATGTTCCATTTCAAAAAGATCGTGAAAAGACCATCCCTCTTAAACTAAATTATGATTGTTTCCTCTCATAAAGACAGGTGTTCGTGTCGAAAAAATCAATGTATCCACTTCGATCCTGGTCAATCAGTGCACTCGTCAATCTATTGCTTTTGCATTTTGTCTTTAACCGTAATGCGTGTTCATCGTGTATTTTTACGGGTATATATATTGCTAGATGATATCAGTAAACAATTGTAGATAACAGCAAAATTGAGAAAATAGTGCAAAGAAAAAATCAATTCACTGATCCTACACTGGAATCGGTAGCAATATTGTCTCAATTGATGTGCGTCATTCTCGGCTTTTCATAAAATTCCGTACGTTTAAAGTTGCTGTATTCAAGTCCATTTTTGAGCGCACAAATTAAATGATATGGGATTGTAAGCTATCACTTATGGTGTGGAATGACATTCCTGATATTGAAATCGATATGTAACCTTCTTTCTGATATGTGCATCTCAAAGACTTTATTTGTGACGGAATAGCCTCACAAAATGTTTGGGTCATTAGTAAAGCTATAACAGTATAGCGGTGAAAAAAATCGCGAATTGGGGGCAAAAAAGTATACAAAAAACATTGGTGGTTTTTATTTTGGCAGATTTGTAATCCCCAATTAAATATTTTGGGAGATGCTAAAATGGTTGCAGTTAAAAGGTTGTAAAAATTGACAGGAAGAAAACAGTGAAACATATCTTTGCTGTAGTTCTGTATAGATACAAGAAATTAAAATAAATTATTACTATAATATTAAACAGTTATACATATATTAACCCTGCTTTGTACTAGACTGACACACTGAGCCGGATTCTTAACGTGCAGGAAGACATGTCACCCTACCTGGACATATTATTCTAACTTCTGACTCCGAGCCAACCAGTATTTGTTCTTACCCCTAAACGCCGTGTCCTTAGCGGAGATGCAGCGAATAAAAATGTCGTGTCTTTTGTTTGTACCCGCCTGAGTTCCAACACACAACCTCATCCGGGCAAATAACGAATAAATCAATTGCATTTATTCCTTTCAGATTGGTCGATTACCTATATGTGATTGTTGTTTTTGTTGTACTAATTTAAAAAGTACTAGTAATAAAAATGTACTCGCCATGTAAGTTGTATAATCTAACAAATCGCTTTAATTATAGAAGAGTGCTCTCGACCAATAAAATTGTAGGATTTGATGTGTCTCAATTGTAAAGAAGCTTGAAAGGATTAATTTAAGTTAAATTGAATTAAAAATTGAACTGTTAAACTAAGAAACAAAATCTAAATAAGTTGAAGTTTACTGATGCAGTAAAAATAGATACCATT